CCCTTGGTACAAGTATATGGGAATTCTAATGAATAATAAGTATTCTCATCCTGGCTCATTCAATTGTCAGCAGGGATCAGTGAAGCATTACCATAGTGTTGAAATTTACATTCTGTAATAGCCTGGAGGAATTAGCCCCATAAAATGGAAAGAATGACAAAATATTCTCTTGTCCTAACACTTTTGCACAGTACTGTATTATGTATTGGAGCTGGGTGATTAGTGGAATTTGCTAATCAGTTAATTGTACAGCTCATTAATCACTTACATTCAACTAATTTATTATAATTGGATAGTTGGAATAATCAAAACTTGTAATAAATGGATACAATAATTTTTATTACTTAATTCATTTTGTGAGTTTTAACACTAATCAATTAAGCTGAACAGCCTTGAATTAATCAAAAACTGTAACAATTAGAAACAGTTGACTATTTTCTTGACATTAATAAATTTAATCATAATTTCAAATAATTTGTTATAGTTCATGCTTATAAGTAATTGATTATATTGATTAACTGCCCAGCTCTATTTAGTTGTGTAATTATGTCTAGCATGCTCAAGTTTTCCATAATAGTGCTTTAGTACAGAAACTGAAATTAACTGAAAATAGTCTTGAATTACTTGCAATAATGAATTATCTCAAAGTGGTGGTGTCCTACAAAGTACTTACCAGAAAAACCATTAAAATAAATTATATCTCTACACTCTTGTTGCACCACATCAGAAAGGCAGTTCTAGTATTTTCAGTGGTCCTAGATAAACCACATTCAGAAGCCAAAACTAAAATACTGGTTTGGTAAATGTTGGCTAGAATAAATAACTAAAGTAGTTCATTAACAGTTGACTTGTACAATTATGAAGTTGATTAACACTATAAGAATACAGAACCAATTCCATATAACATATGGTAATGAGAGTGAAGCGTCATTTTTTGCTTCTTTACCTTTTTTTATTTTTAGTTTGAATAAGAACAAAAGTGAATAGTATTATGTCTACTATACCAAATATATGTTACAAGCACAGACCTGTCAAACATCATATACTGAAGTCAATTGCAAGTTTAATCGTAATCACATTGTCATTACAGTTTTTATAACTAAATTCAATAGAGAATATAAATTAATATTAATGAGTTTAAATCTATTGTAAAAAGAAGACTGAAAAAATTTTAATAATATCTTAGTAAATGAGTTAATAAACTATAATTTTACTACATTCAAAATTAAGAACTATAAAATCACTTTTGTCTCACTGTCACTAACACATTTCTAAAGTAAGTAAAATTGTTATTTCCATATACTAAGTAAAGATACTTAAATTGACTTACAACAACAAAACAAAAAATTCCATTAAAAGTAAAAGATCTCTTGAAAGAATATGTTTGAAAACCCATGACTTTTACTTTTAAACTTACTAAATTAATGAGAAGGGATAAAAAAACATGATTAATGAAAAGTAATGTTTGTAAAGATTTAGCCAAGGGAAAGGCTGGACTGGAAATAACAAAAAAGTGTTTATGACCAAATAATAGAAACATTTACAATGTACCCTGATCAAAAACACATCATCATCATAAACACCAAAGCAGATAAAGAAAACTTTGTTTGATAATTGTATGGAAAACAGTAACAAAAACAATGATTAATTAAATTAATTATTTAGCTGTATTCCAAACAGAATTATAGATTAAAAATAATTTTTGCCTCCTCTGTTTCAGTTTTTTGTACCTTATCTTTAAAAGTAGTTTTTCTTGACTTCTGGAAAACATGTATAACCACAGTGACTTCAAAACTTAATATAATTAGATAAGAAGCATGACTGTAGGGAGAGGGGGGGAGCAATAAGGCAGTTGACTCCCTTGGATAGTTGTGGTAAAACATTTTTAGAAATTTCAAGATCTTAATTTAAAAAATTGCCCTTAGAACACCTGGAAATGTATTGCCATTATGTGCATAAGTTCCATTGGGCTACATGTGTCACATGCTTATGCTTGAATAACATTTCACCTGGTTGATGTCATCTGCACAACTGTTGAAGTGCAATGCTTTGTGAATAACACAAACTTTTAGAACTTTAGGCTCTTTCCAAAATGAAACTTGTTTATATTTTCAACTGCTTGTTTGATCATATGTTTTATCATTATCATGCTGCTGCCAACTAAGTCTAAAAGACTAAAATTTGTATGTCTTGTTTGTAGAAAAACAACTTATAGTGGCTATAACTGTAGTAAAAGACACAATGTGAACTGCCATAAGGACTTGCTCAATGCAAGAACAAGAAGTGCATAATAGATGCCAGGAGGCCCAGTTAATCGAATTGAGGTAAAATTTATTCTGCATTTTCTTCAATATTATTTAGCAAACTTCCACAAGCCCTTTTGTAATATCAACAACTTTATTAAATTTCTTGATATATATATCAAATAATCATATCAACTGAAACATTTTAAAAGATATTCTTACAGAAAATTATGAACCCTTAGAAATTTAGATTTCAAAAATTCTTCAGTTGCACTGTGATAATTTCCTCTTCAATGAAAAGATTATAAAAAATGAAATGGGTAATATTTTACATTTAGTATAACTTTCCAGAATTGTAACTATTCATAATAAATTTTGTGCTATAAAACGTAGCAGCTTTTCACATAAATGTTGTTTAATTTTTATTAATCACATTTCAATATAATAATAATTGTTCCTTTTTTTAACAATTATAATTTTTGCCTACATGAAAATTTTAGCCTAAGCTTATAATTGACATTTATACAGATGTCTACATGCCCATTTTGAAAAACAGTATAATGATAAGTATTAATAATAATAATAACAGTTACTGATTATTGGTTTTTGAATGCTATACTTTTTAGTAAGGCCTATAATTTCGAATTAGGAAAATCAAAGTGGTCATAATAAGAATAAGTGTGCAAACAAGTTAGCTGTTACAATTTACTAATAAAACTACCAAATTTAAATACAATTCCTACAGTTTTTCTTACATTTCTAACTTGTAATGCCATAATGAAGAGAGTAGTTAGATTAGTGATAGTGTGAAATATCAAATTCTACATTTATTTTGCTATAGTTTCATTTATCATTCATCTATTACTCCTCCTATAAAATTTTAGTTATAGGAAAATGCTAACTCGCCTTCTAGCTAAAGCATGTTGAATTTCAGTATATTTGTATTATGAAACTGAAACAAATTTCACCGAGTGGTGACATACAGATATTACTGTTGTGAAAGATTGCATTAGTCAGCTAATCACATGATGCTCTAACCACTAAATAAAAATCCTTCCTTGATCTTAAACGAGTGAGTTCACAATATATAGTTAAAATGATTTGTTGCTGATCTTCAGAAGTGTTTTAATTTTGGAATATTGTTTTGTTTTTTGGAATTAAGTTTTTCTTCTGGATCTTTTTCCTAATTTCTTTATACATTGAAATTAATAACATTGATAATTATGTAGTATTGTTTATTAACATCTGTATCAAGTTCTGGTCAGGCACTGATTTACTAACTGTTTGTTTTTGTAAGTGATTAAACTTGTATTCTAACTGTTTGAAAGTTTAATTTTGGATCTTCGTTGTTACAGTTTAATAATTTTTTTGTTCAACCTTGGTTATAATAATATTTTGTTTTAGTCCATTCCAACAGTTTTATAGATATGTTTAGAATAACTAAAAAATATAGGAATGATTTTCAATAATGTAGTTTTAAAGTAGATGTGGTTTTAAAACAGGCTTGGTGGCTTGTGTGGAAATATGGAAGAGTGACACAGTAAGAATGATGAGAAGTAGCTAGAAAGGTGTTGCATACAGAATAAAGAAGGGGGTGTAATAGTATTTGAACAGGTAACTTTCGAACCTTGGTGAGCAGTGCTTTATGCCAAGCCTCACTGAAATCTTTGCTGGCATACAGTTGTTGAAAGTTGTCAATTAACAATTTTTTGAAAATTTAACTCGCAACTTAATATTAGCTTGTTTCACATTATTACACGTTGAAAAAAAATAATATTCACATTACTGTTTTTGATATATTATTATAACTGAAACCTAAATAAAATATTTTATTTCTATACGTTTAGGCTTCTGTCTCTAAGGCTGGGTACTAGTACAATGAATGAAGTTAAGTCGCAAGAGAAAAATGCTCATACTGATAGTGGATATGCCTTATGATCCTCCTGTAAGTGATTCATGAGTGGAAGAATCCTCTAAATCTGAAGATTCTGATTCATGTTTTAGTTATGAAGAAATTAATAAACCAAGTAAATGCACTGCTATAAACCATGGTTAAATCATACATCACCTTTTCCCTTCTGATCCTGCCATTTTATCTGATAAACCTTTGATTGTTGAACTTGTTTGGAAAATGATGGATTTGGACCTCACCAGCCTGACAGAGGAGGTGCATATGAGTTCAGAAAGGACTCAAAAGGCTGTTCTTCTCAATCAGCTTTGTACCACAAAATGCTATCCAATGGATTAAAGATTCAAACAGACTGGCTAGTCTACTCTCTTAGACTGGTAAAAGCATTTTGTTTTTCTTGTCTTTTATATAGAAAAAGACACAATCTCAACTATAAGCCAACTTGATGTGATGCTGGGTGCAGATTCTGAAATGATGGAAGTAGAACCCTGATGTTATTGCATACTAGGAAACATTTAATTAAATCTTGGAAAATAAGATTCTGATTTTCTTTTGCTCTATTATCATGTAAAAATTCTATTTAAACAGATTTTTACCAAAGAAAATGACATTAAAAACCACAGCATGAACCTCCTCAACTCAGTTTTATTAACACAAAACATTCAATTACCTTTAATAAATTTGGAATTATAAAGTTAGTTGGAGGATTATAATTAATTCAAAGAACTGCACTTATCATTTTCCATAGAAAAATCATATACAAAAATAAGTCACTACATATATCAACAGCACCAGTAACCAAATTTTTAACAAATGTATCAAACCTGTCAATACCTTTCAGTATCTGGGAATAGACAGAAAGCATAACATGAAGGAACAAACAAGCTATTTATTCAAAATGTTAAACCATAGTTAATATGATTAGAAAAATTACACATAGAATCAATGGATGTAGCAACAAAACAAGTTTTAAAATATACTTACAATCTATGTTTAGAATACATTCAGTTCTTGATATAAACTTTCAAGTTATACTATAAATCCACTTCAAATAATCCATAATTATGTTCTGATAACAGCTTTCAAACTACCAGTTTATACTTCCATTATGATACCACACACGCAATTCTCTTTTCCTGTAATAACATATAACTATATATGACAAAAGATCATTTTTCAAAGCTGTTCTTGCACACACACACACATTCTTTATTTCCATGAAATCACTGACTAGCTGCCCACTTAACTGTTGTAAAGTGCTAGCCCAGTGGTCGGCAATATTTTTTGATTGCGGGTCAATTATATTTTTTGAAAAATTTAGCATTGTGTTGGGTCAGTGATAATGATATACTTATTAATACTGGTACATGTATTTTAAATGTGTATGTTTATTTACATACAAAAATTAATAGTTCGACCAGTTTT